AGATAACTGTGAAACCACTCTAAAAGCGAGCCAGCAAATCCATAAACAGACAGTTTTTGTAATAAAATGGAATGGTTGACCTTATCAAAGGCCTTACTAAAGTCTGTATATACTGAGTGTACCTCCATACCAAGACCAAAAGAGTCCACAACTTCATTAACATACGAAAAAAGATTAGAAATAGTTGAGCGTTTTTGAAAGAATCCGTGCTGTTCTGGAACTATAAGGCTACTTAGTTGATAAGATAATTTAGAAAGTACAATGGATTCAAATAATTTAGGATCGCCGACAAAATTGACACTGGACGGTAATTTTCTATTTTGGACGTGGATTAGATTTATGAATAGGCACAATAAATGATTGTTTCCAAAATGCTGGAAATATACCACTACTCAACGACAAATTAAATATTATATACAGGGTTATTCATAAATATGAAGCAATATTTGAACCTCAAAAATGACCTATAAAATGATGTTAATTTAAATAATAACTCGTGTCCTATCTCTACTGATAAGAATTTTACAGCCCTCGGAATGTGGGTATGGAAATTTGATTTTTTTGTAATAACTTTGAAACTATTTGACCAAATATTATAAAATTTGGAACATTTCCATGTGACAACATACCCTTTAGACTGGTAATTACGAAAACCGGATACATCCACTCAATTTCCGGTTCCAGCAGTTGCAGGTCCATTCCATTTTTTTGCTCTCTTAACACTAATTTTTTTATTGCCCAAATCGATAGAGTAATCAATTTCGATTAAAAAACGCATAATCTTTAATACCCCTAAAATGGACCGTTTCAAAGATATTTTAATTTAAATAAATTTTTGTGATTTTTTTATGAATTAAATGCTACGAGATCCATTTGGATTTATTCTAAGTTATATTTGGAATCTGAGGTAAACTCTTTTATTAAATATTTTCGATTAATTGTCTAATAATCGTCCAATGTCAAAGTTGACAGATGCCTGACAGCGATTAGTGAGACCATGGTCATTTGTTACCGTGGATATCATCCATTCAAAATCCCTACTTTTTGGTTTCAGCGTTGTGCAGTCCTCAGTTTAAATTAAAATATCTTTGAAACGGTCCATTTTAGGGGTATTAAAGGTTATGCGTTTTTTAATCGAAATTGATTACTCTATCGATTTGGGTAATAAAAAATTGGTGTTAAGAAAGCAAAAAAATGGAAAAACACAGAAAATGTGACCTGCAACTGCTGTAACCGGAAATTGAGTAGATGTATCCGGTTTTCGTAACTACCAGTTCAAAGGGTATGTTGTCACACGGAAATATTCCAAATTTTATAATATTTGGTCAAATAGTTTCAAAGTTATTACAAAAAATCAAATTTCCATACCCACATTCCGAGGGCTGTAAAATTCTTATCAGTAGAGATAGGACACGAGTTATTATTTAAATTAACATCATTTTATAGGTCATTTTTGAGGTTCAAATATTGCCTCATATTTATGAATAACCCTGTATAAGGGTAAAGCCAAAGATTTATAACAATTTTTTAATTTACAATTACATTCGACCTAATTTCAATCTGACAATGATTTTTTTTTTAACTCAATTTATTGTGGCAGCTCAAATAAATTTTTAATAATTCCATTAGTATTCTTTACACACTCTTACTTACGTCAATGCGATATTAAAACAATAAGATTAATCAACAATTTGCAGATGCATCCTCAATCATTAAAACTAAACACATCTGATTAATTTTTGAAGTACTGTTTTGTCTACTTGGCAAGCAATAAAAATGGTTTCGATAAGATCCATCGTAAACTTTCTATCAACTGTCAAGGTTTTTTCAATTATGTACTCTCTAAATTCAGCTTTTTGAGACATAAATGATAGACAGTAGTTCGTTGACACTATTAGCTTACAAATAGGTTAATCGTGCAAATAATTGTCTCTTCTCGATATGACGCACCTATTTCTGTTACTTTCACAGTAACCGAAGTAAATTATGAGTCATTTCACGCAAGTTTCTTAATCAATATGCCAAAGAAGTGTCCAGCTAACGGGTCACAAGTGAATTTATTGCCCTTATGTTGGCCAAAGGTCAAGTTCATTGCTCGGACCTTATCTCTGGTTCCAACTTATTATTATTAGAACAAGTTGTTGTGACTAAACTATTTATTTTTGGAAAAAAAATTTATTACACCCTACTATCTTTTTTTTACAAAAAAAACTGTGATCTAAGGATTACAATTGTCTCCATTTTATTCAATTTTTTTCAAAAAAATCGAACTCAAAGACAAAACTAAATTTCATTCTCAAAACTCAATAAGGTTTTAAATAAATTATTCCAATTAATTGTTGTGATAAAAATTTAGTTTGTGTTTGGTCAGTTTTATACAGACTTTTTGAATTGATATGAAAATATTTTTATTAACAAATCTAACTTCCAATCAAATTATTTATTGACTAAATAATTAAAAAGTAAGCACAGTGACATTTTTTATTGAAGTAACGAAGTTAGTAAAAAATAACAATTTCACTACTTTAAAGAAGAATTTATGGATTTAATCAATATAATTGTCTTAAGTTTTTTTACTTTTACCAAACTTTATCATTTTTTTAACATTATGGTTGCAAAAAATATTATAGGCTTGTACATTCTTTTTTGTGCAATAATAAAATAAAAATGTATATCTGCAAACGTCAGAAAAGTGATCACTTTTAACCTTTCAACCATGAGTAAAAATTATATTTTTGCCTCTAAGTGTTTTTAGTTTTACCATGACATTATTGCCATTTATGTTGTTTTTTTCTTGTCTCTTTCGCTGCTTTAGCAATTCGATATTTTGCACTAGTTAAATTATTAACCACTTTCGAAAATTTCAAACAAATTCCGACATGTTATTCGGAGTAAAAATGAGTTTATGTAATTATTTGCCTCACAGCGTTTTGCAAAAAAAACGTTCAGCAACTATTCTTTTACTCCTAATAACATAATATACTATTTTTATTTTTTTATTTTCTTAAATTGTTCTTGTAAAAATCAAATTATTTAAAAAATTAAGCACAATAGCCATATTCACAAATGCAAATAGAAAATTACTGATTGAAAAAAATACAATACACTTCTAAAATTTCTTCTTAAAATTAGAAATAAATAAACTTTACCTACTCTTTGATGGTTAATTTGATTTTTTTTAATTATGTTGCTGTTGAAATCCCTACAAGGGGAACAGAAAGTATGAAAGGGAACGTTTTTTGCTTAAACTTTTTTTTTGGAAAAATTTAATACAAAAGTAAGATTTTTCGATTTT